CCTCTCGGGATCTTGAGCACGCACGCAATCACGCCCGGCGTGAGTTTTACGCCACTGGGTCTGGGATTCGAACCGTGGTCAACTACGTGGAAGTGCAGCAGCCAGACAGAGAGAGACAGAGACAGAAAGCGAGAAATCACCCCCCAGGGGGGATGGTCACGCCGCAATCCCTTCTCCTCCTTTCTCCTCTCGGGATCTTGAGCACGCACGCACACACGCCCGGCGTGAGTTTTAAGCCACCGGGTCTGGGACGCGAACCGTGGTCAACTACGTGGAAGTCCAGCAACATAGTCATTACGCTAACTGTTGGTTCCTCATCACGGTTCTTAACCCACTATTCATTTCAGCTCTAGCAAGGAGCCAGGTGACTGAATGTTTAAGAAATGCAGTGATCTTAGAAAAATTGTTTTTCCTTTGTTTTCTTACTTATAAAGTGGATTAATAAGAAATTACTATGGTTTATGGCAATAAGAAACTGATACTTTAGAATTATTTATTTTACTGTTCAAAAGATGAGATGATTCTCTTTTTTCTCAACCCTAGAACGAATGTTTTGGAGCCCATGACCCGTGAAGTCTTGTCAACATTCATACCGCCTGAGGGTATCGGCAAAGAAGTAGAAGTAGGTGAGGTTTTCTGCTCACACTCTCATACCTCTGGCCTATTGAGTCAGCCATTTTTTCATGTCTTGGTTGTGGTACCACTCGAAGGTAGTGTCATCCTTCAGTATTAGTAGAGTTTGGGTTTGAGTGGAATCTGGAGTAATCGTCAGGTTGGTTTTAGTTTGGCTTGTGCATTTTTTTTTTCAGTCAGCATCCGTGGTGGCCACATGAACGCTCCTCCTTGCTGTGAGGAAAACTGTCAGGCATGTTGGATATAAGCCATATACTCTGAGATCTGAAGTCTAAGCTTGCTGTAGAAAAGTCCTGCTTAGGTTTGGGTGAGGAAAGCTGTGTGTTTATGTCTCTGTCAATGGTATTACAGCGAATGCCTTGTGGTCTGATGTACTGGGCAGTGTTTATCTCACAGAAACCAGAGGGATTCCACTTTTTCCTCGTCTTCTGAAATAAAGTTAGGAAATAATTTCTCTTTTCTTAATGGTGAATTTGGCCTTATCCTCAAAGAAGGCCTTTGATGTTTAGGGCAGAATTATTGGACAGTAAGAGGGAGAAAGAACATTGCAGAAAGAACATTGCCATTAACATACAATCAGCTTAATTCAGTTGCCAGAGAAAATGTTGAGGAAAGTCTCAACTAGTTCTCCTGGTTAGTAACAAGAAAGGGTGTAATATGGGCAGGGTAAATAGGGTTGAAGAAAAAGAACTCAAAAGGAGCTGAACAGTGGAAAGTTTGGCAGAGGAATGTTTATTCTTCTCCATGGACAGTGTTGGACGAGTCGGGGGTGATGAAGTGTGTGTAGATTGGAGCCTTCATTCTTCAACAAGCATTTATTGAGTACTTGTTATGTAGCTGGCATCACAGTGTGGGTTGGCAGAGATCAATACCAGGTTCCATGCTCTCCAGAACCCCGGTACTGATGGAGAGGGAAATACAGAGCAATGCAGTGCAAACGCTAGTGTTAAAAGTACTAGGAACAGGTTGATTAAGAAAAGGGGGAGGAGAGTGAAGATCTCAAAGTCTTTTTTTTTTTTTTTTTTTGAGAGAGAGATTTTTGCTATAGGGCATTTGCGATTGCTGGAGACAGAGACAGAGAGATAGAAAGCGAGAAATCACCTCCCCCTGCCCTGGGAGTATGACCCACAATCCCTTCTCCTCCATTCTCCTCTTTAGATTTTGGGCATGCACGCACATGCATCCAGTGTGAGTTTAAGCCACTGGGCCCGGGACTTGAACTGTGGTCGACTATGTGGGAGTCCAGTGATGTAACCACTATGGCATCTGGTGGTTTTTGTTTTTTTTTTGTTTTTTTTTTTTTTTAAAGAATTATCTATTTAATTTTATTTAGGGAGAGAGGGAAAGTGAGAAAGTAAGCCACTGGATCCGGGTCTCGAACTGCATTCAGCCCTGTGGGAATCCAGCGACTTCACCACCATGCCACCTGCTGGCCCTCAGGCTGAGTTTTAAGGACAGAGTTGAGACTAGCAGTACTACAATGTACTGTATGTGCTGTTTATGATTTTCTCCCTGAAAACTCATTTTCCTCCATAGATGATAGACTTAAGTATGCTGGAGACATGAGGTTTCGAGTTCAGAGTAGGTTTTATTTTTTGCGTCTTGTTTCTTCATTTTAAAAAAGTTAAAACCTGGAATCTCTGCAATGACTGCAGAATCTCAGATATCTGGGTCTTAAGCCTCTAAAACCAGTTACTGAATGACTTTCAAGGAGGAAAGGAGAAATATGTGTATATTCACACACCACACGCACACACACACACACACACACACACACACACACAGAAATTAACTCCTCATCTCTGTCAAATTTTTACTGAGATTTCTAGAAACACACGCCTAAATTCAGCTTCTTACTTTGTAATTCCATTTGCCTTTTGTTCTACTATCTGCTGTAGTTTTGCTTGACTTGAAATCATCCGCAGAGCAGCAAGCAAGGGGACAGTTCTTTTAGGGACATTAAAGTCACTGGGCACTCTAGTTCCCAGAAACCGCCTTGGCTGCCGAGAGGTAAATATCACACTGGATGGGAGCTACAGGTTAGGGAAGGAAAGTACGGGGGACTGGCTGGCTTTGGAGGCTCCCCAAGACTGGGCTGGAATTGGCCTCTTGAAGAGAGCCCTCCCCCACCTACCCTGACTCTGCCAAAATTTTTCCAGCCAAGTGCCTTTACTAGTCTGAACTTACCTAACATTACAACCTAGCAGGTTTATTAGGTGTGGGTCAGAGTTAATTGGAGAGGAAAATTGGGGGGTTCTGGGTTTATTAGTTTTCTGTGAAAGCAGAGGCCTTTATTATTTCACAGATCCCCATTCGATTGTCCTCCTGTGCTCTGTCTAATGACAGTCATCCCACAGTGGTGTTAGGGCAGCTCCTCTGACATAGCTGTGCCCAGGTGAGTGGGATTTCATAATGCAGTCAGCACAGTACCCTCTTTTGCAAGTGAGACCACATCAAGTCATGGAAATTCGCAGGTTTTTTCTTTTCCCCTCTGTCTGTCATTATGAATGGATGTTTTGTAGTGAACAAGTTATATAAGAATCTGCTGTATTATAGCCATGAGTTAGAGTCTAATGGGTCGACGTACAGGCCTCTGAAGCAGTCACCTGCAGCCCTTCCTTGGTGCCTTTGGTGGTCTGCCATCCATGCACGCTGACTCAGCTCCAGGTGAAAGCCTCGCGGTCAGGTGCTTTTTACTCTAGAGGCTTCTGTTGCAGAGACGGAGGCTGGGGAGTTGGGCCTGGCTTTAGCCTGACTGGACTGTGGCAGCTTGCCAGCAAGTTTCACTGGGTGGTCTTTGACAATGGCGGGAGGGGGGTTGGGGAGCTAGCTTTCCTCCCCCAGTGGAGAACAACAAGGTGGCTTTCTATAGGTGGGCTTCACATTGACAACCAATCTGCCTGTCACCGCCACACCACCCAGGCCTTGAGTGTGGGTAAAAAGGACCGAGCAGGTTGCCTGGAGGTGGTATTATGTTGGAGTTCCTTTTTGCTCCCTAGGTTTTACAAAGCCTTGTGTTTATGTGTGAGCCTCCTTCCCAGGAGTGTGAGCGCACGGGCAGCAGGTGCCCTTCATCCTGTGAGGGAAGAATTGTTGTCCCCACTCGAAGGATGGAGAAGCACGTCTCCTGGTATAGCTTAGGGGAATCTGCCCTGGGCCCGGAGTGCAGGCCCAGCTGGGCTAATTTCAGTTCCAAAGAGACTGTGCTGCCCATCTCCAGCATCTTTCTGGTGACCAGGGTCTGGTAGCTGCTATTCAGTGAGCACCTCTGGTGCCAGCCCTCTGTGCTCAGCACTACAAGCATCACCCCTGGACCCTTGGGCCTGTGAAGACAGACATTATTACCTAGTCTGCAGAGAAGGGAACTGAAGCTTAAACAATCGTACTGACTTGCTCTGATGTCTCAACTGGTGATTGCAGGAGCCAGGATTTCTCTGTAGGTCTGCTGACTCCCAAATCTGGGGTGGAAACGGGGGGAAAATGCCCAAATGCTCTCCTGCAACAGAGTCCCCTTAGCTTGGAAGAACCATTTCCTTTGCAGCTAACCAAGTATAATGCACAGGTGAGGATCTTGATGAGACTTCCTTAGAAGAGAGAAATCCAAACTGGAATTACTCTGGAAGGTTTTGAGTGACTCCACAGGCACAGTACCAGGGCAGCTAAGCCTCGTATAGTGTTCGACTTCCAGGCAGGAGTGGAAGCTGCCTCCATCTTGGGTTTCATCTCAGAACTTGTCCCTTGTCTCTATTTTTCCTTTCCCTGGGGCCATTATCTGAACTGACGGTCCTGAATCTTTGCTTCCACTAGAGCTGCCAGATGAATCCATTTGCTCCTGGGATCTTTGCAAGTCTGATCAAGCAAATCCTCCATGCCCTCGGAGGGGTGAGGGGGAGAAGGCGCTTGGCCCAGCAGATACTTTTACTGGTCAGGAGAAGTGGCAGCTTGTACAGAAAAACACCCTGGGGAAGGAAGTAGCAGGTTTGATAGACAGGTAACTGACAGGAGATGCTACCTTCCAGGCAAATACTCACAGAAAGAATTCGACAGGCAGTTACCTGCAGAAGAGTGAAGCCGACCGCTCCCTACTGGCTTAGGAGAGCAGGGGTTTGATGTGGAAGGCACGTTCCTTTTCTTCATTTCTCTTGACAAACATGGAAAGCCTGAAGCCGTGGTGTCTGGGATTGGGTGGGGACGGGGTACAGAGCACATAATTTAAGATAGCATTACGTGGCCAGGTACTTGAGCGATGGAGAAGAAGTTATGGAATCTGTGCCTTTATTCCCTGCCCTTGCCATCTGGTTTCTCCAAGCTCTCTAAGGATATGATGAAATGGCACAAGGGACGCTTATATTCGTTTTTTAAAATTTGCCAGATGGTGTATGTGCTTGCCAGAGACAGAGGAAGAGGGAGAAAGCAGCACTCCCAAAGGGTGTGGTCATGCTGCAATCCCTTTTTTGCCATCTTGTTGGGATTTGGGGCATTCACACTTAGGTGCCCCCACGTGTTTTTTCAAGCCAATGGATTCTAGCTGTGGTTGGCCATGTAGAATCCGTCTCCGTTAACTCCTAGGTTATACATAGGGACTGCCCAACAAAGGGACTTTGCTTTTTTTTTTTTTTTAAGAATTATTTATTTAATTTTTCTTTTTAATTTGCTATACTCACCAGAGAGAGACAGAGTGAGAGTAAGGGTGAGAAATCAAGCCACTGGGTCCAAAACCTGAACTGTGGTTGGCCATGTGGGAGTCTAACACCTTAACCACCATGCCATCTGCTGGCCCCATGAAACCCTGATTTCTTTCTTTTTGTATTTTAGTGAGATTTTTGCTATAGGGTGTGAGCACTCACCAGAGAGACAGAGAACAACAGAGAGACAGAAAGAGAGAAATCACCCCTCAGGGGGACAGCCATGCCACAATCTCTTCTCTTCCATTCTCCTCTCAGGATTTGGGACACACACACGCACACACACACACACACACGCACCCTGTGTG